AAAAAAAAAAAAAAAAAAAAAAAATTAAAAAGAAAAGAATTTAGCAGCTTCTATTATTTACAATGGAAAAGGGGTTAACGAACACAAAATATAGATACCATCATCTTGAACAAGGGAAGTGATCTAATTATTTCTATGAATATTTTTGTGATGGTTCTGATGGTTCAAGCCTGCAGAAGTTGACCCACCATAGCTTAGGTAGGGCTTTAATGGGCCTGACTCAGGTTCCCTGTCTTTTCAGCCAGAGCTCAAAGCATGAGAGTTAGCCAGATGAAAAATGCCATTTGTGAAACAAACACATATTTTACAGTAGCATCCAAATGTGAGTGGATTAAGGAATTTCTTTGAGTCATACCGTACTTGATATGACCAGCTTTGGCAAACATTTTTTCAAAGCCCCCTCAACAAAAAAAGAAGAAAGGATATGCTTTGCCTCTCAAGTTTTCCGGACCACGCTGAAGAAAGAATGGAACCTATCTCCACAGATTTTCTTTTCTACTCTCTGGTTTGAGCTGGGCATTTTGAGTTGTAACATTGAACGTTTGCCATCTAGTGTTCATACACCGTCACTACAGCCTGCCACAGAAGGCTCCAGGCAAGAGCACCACCACTTATTAAAATGATGGGATAACTTCCTTTTAATTATTGGAAGAGAGAGATTTGTGATTTGTAAGTTACAAATCTCTACTCTCTAGGTAGAGTAACCCATGCTCCCTCATCCTTCACTGATGTGAATTTTTATCTAAAAGAGACCAACTAAAAATTCTCATAGGTAAAATCATTATGTACTCAAGAAATAATCTGGCAGGGCCACAGTTCAACAGAAGAGATGCAAGTTATTTCTTGGCTTTGATCTCAGGCAAGTCTGTTAATCTCCTGGAGTCTCAGACCCACTGTAAATAATAACAGTTATGAACAGGTCACTGGATAAATGCCCAGAAAATACCATAAAAGTTTCTACATATTCATAATGGAAAAATCAAACAAGAAGGGAAAAGCACACTGTATGTCTTTTTTTTTAAATGTTTATTTATTTTTGAGAGAGAGAGAGAGCGAGTGGGGGAGGTGCAGAGAGAGAGGGAGACACAGAATCTGAAGCAGGCTCCATGCTCTGAGCTCTCAGCACAGAGCCTGATGTGGGGCTCAAACTCACGAACCATGAGATCATGACCTGGGCTGAAGTCGGATGCTTAACCAACTGAACCACCCAGGCACCCCAGCACACTGTATGTCTTAAAGTGATTCATCAAATTCGCCAAAAATTTTTCAAGCTTTTGTAGATGGACAGTATGCCTCTTAAGTGTTTAAGACCAAATACTGTCAAATGCCCACAGGCAGACAGATACACAGAGCCTGAAAATGCACTGATAGAAAACCAAAACTAGAAATGGTAAACAGAACCATTCCTTTTGAGAATGGTCTAACGAATCTAGAGCCACTCTATACATTTGATGCTAGAAAATCATTCAACACTGATCACAGATTTCTAAATGGCAAAGGAGAGGATGATCCACTGTGTAGAACAGGGCTACTATGAAACTCAAGGGGGAGAAGAAAGGACGCTGTAACTCAATTTATTAAAAGAGAATTCGAGTTTGGACATACTTCTATTTTATGCAGTGTTTTCTATCAAAACCGCTCAATCCAATGTTTTAAATGTCTCCAGAATGTGTGGAGCTGCCTGCTCTCTCCATGCCAATGGACTCTCTTAGAGTTCCTTCTGTCTAAATATGTCAGACTTTTGGTTGCTCTCAACCTGCTTCTACAACCCATTTCAGCTTTTACAACAGGTAAGACGCCAGGAGGCAGGGAAGCCTTGCTGAAACAGCAGTGGCAGAGATTTTGATTTAAAAAGCAGTCTTCCTTGCTGTTCCAGAGCCGTGAACAGCTCTTTCTCATCCTCAGCCCTTACGGATGGTTTTTAAAACAAGACTCTTTACACTTCCCGAGCACATAATTTCAGGGTCAGTGAGTCCCCTCATGAGGCCTGGAGTGCTCACAGGCCAGGCATGTGTCCCAGTGACATCAAATCACAAAAGCAAACTTAAGCTGCTTTTCCTATCAAGAGAATCCTCCAAATAGAATTAAAGTCTTAATTTATGCTTCTTTGGAAGCCATAAATTTCCCTTCTGAATCTTTACAGCATCCTTGTGAGGGAAGAGGCGAACATTTAACCCCTCTGTGTCCTGGCTTATTTGTGGAAGGGGACCCTACAGTAAACACACCACAGGCCACTCTGCAACCTACCTCGAACCCTAGCTCTGAAGCCCTACAATCCAGGGGATTATCTTTCCTGTAAAAATGAGGGCAAGAAAAACTTTCTTGGGTTCCATCTGTTTATCTGTTTTTCTCCATCCTGCCAAAATCTGTTCCTTCTCAAGCTCTGCTTGCTCTTCTCCAACTGGCCTAATGATTTCCATGTTCAGATTATTTCAAATCTAGGGAAACTATGTCACCAAGAGGCCATCAATAACACGTGTTTTGCCCTTCTCTCTTCCCCTCACACCACCCCAATCCTTTCAGTGAATGTCAGAGGACTAACAGAGGATGATGATGGAGGGCTCCAGACTCTGACTTCCTCTTCCTACGGACCAGATTGTTCTGTTGGGAGTGTATCCCCTTCCGATCTCCCACAGCGATTCCAAAATGCCCTGTGTATCTCCTCTCTGCCTAGGACAGCCCATTCCCATCCCTCAACAAAACAAGGG